CCACCACCAATCAGGGATGCATCTTCCAGCAGGAGGGAGAACAGGAAGGTTGCGCTCCATGTGGCTCTGACGTTCAGTATTTTTATTATAATGACTCACAACTTGACACCGATCACTGCTGTCAGCATGTCATTAGGTGACTGTCGGAGACATATCGTCCTTAGATAATTTAAAAGCTAAATCCTAGCTAATGTCTGAAAACGCTGTGTTTTTACAGTGAAATAATAAAGTAAGATTACACGGAGAGTTACAGGGGGGTCCCACTGTCTGTGTAAGCAATTAAAGCACAATTCATTTGAATGCTCTGGGGGGGAGGACACGGCCTCATGGGAGACGCCATTTCTGGACACACTTATTCAGCCAAGACTTTCTGGTTCAAATGTCACGTCTTTACTGAGAAATAAAAAATTGTGAGAGCTCCACTGCCTGGGACTACGAAACTGATTAGACTGAAAATAAAGAAAAAGAAAAGACAACAAGTTATGGCATATTTCAAATACCTTCTTTCTGTTAAGAACCATGAAACAATGCAATTTAGGTTGTTTCTTATTTTTCTTAATTTTGATTCAGAGGTTGTGATGCCACTTTCCAATAAGGCGCCATTTCTAAAGGCTTTATACGTACTTAATAAACCACTCACTAATGCTTGATAAATTACTTATTAAGGAAACTATTCAGGGCAGCTTTTCAACTTTTGGGTTTTAAATGCAGTTTTAAATGTTTATAAACCATTCATAAATGCTATCCCTTTCTATGCCCTCTAGTTTGCAGCTGTTACAGTGAATAAGTCATTAATAAGGGTTTTATTCTCCCAAGTCTGTAGTTGCACATGTTAACAAATAGATTTCACTTCAGTACAAGTGAGTGAGGTTTTTTTTCTTAACCTGGAAACTGAAAAGTGGTTCTTATTAACAGCTTATAACTGATCTATAAAGCATGAATAAAACATGTATTAACCATTAACAAAGCCACTACTTAGAACTTATCAACCCTTTATTTTAAAGCCACACATTTCTCCGTGGCTCCTGTATGAGAAGCAACCCCGGGTCACTGACCTGAGCGGTATCTTGATTGCAATGTAGCGGTCCATAGCGATGGCCAGCAGGCTGAAGATGGAGCTCTGTGTGAGAACCAGCACGAAGCAGGCGATGAACAGGCAGCCGTAGAACTTGGAGCAGAAGCCGGTGCTGATGACGATGGCGAAGGGAATGGCCAGGACGCCAACGGCGATGTCGGCCACCGCCAGCGACACCACGAAGAAGTTGGTGATGGTCTGCAGGTTGCTGTTGAGGCACACGGCCCAGCAGACCAGCACATTGCCCAGCACGGAGAACACAGCAATCAGCAAATCCAGGACGATGTAGCAGGAGGTGGCGACGGGGTCTTTCAGCATGGTGAGACAAAGGGCGAGGTCACTGATGAGGAGGGAGGAAGCCTCGCCTCAAGGACCATAGCTGCAGCCTGGCAAACCACCGAGCTCAGCCTCTCACCTCCAACACTTTCACAAACAGCCACCAGACTCTCGAAGCAGCGCAGGCAGCTCCTTCACACCTGCTCAGCTCAAACAGCCGAAAAAAAAGACTCCGGTTTATTCAACTTGAGATGGAGCAGTCATCTCTCTTAACTCCACACTCATCCTCTGCTGTCCTCTTTTCCCCAGGTCCTTCCCCTCAGCGCCTATTTCCCACAGACTTCTCGAGGGGCTGAGATGATGCCAACGACGCACATCGATGGAACGTTATGTCGCTGAAGAGGAGCAGAAGTGAAAAAGAGGAAATGCTTTCACAATAAAGGAAGTGAATTTCAACAGACAGACACTTGCATCAGATACGTTTTAGAGCAAATCAGACGTGTTGTGGTGTTACTAAAAAAAGAATCATTATTTCCTCTGAAAAAAATATTTTTCTGTCTTTAAGGCATGCAACTTCCCAGAATCCCCACTACAACCCACTCAACCTGCCTAAAAGAGCTTTTAATCCGACCACCTTTACAGAGGCTTTAACACTCCAACAAGGGTAAACGTCTGGAGGAAATACGTAACTTTAAATACATTTTGTTATGTAGAACACAGGCATTTTCGTTTTACACAAACCCTACAGCCAATCTTGGATTATTTTTTTGAAGGAGACTTTTTATACTTTTTTGAGACCATAAAATAATTCCACCGACGCAATGAGCATTTCACGAAATACTTTTAATATGAAAGATATCGCCAAAAGCTGATTCGAAATGAAGATTTGGAATTTGTTCATAAACCCACGTGAGTCAAAGCGGTCGTGTCAGTGTTGTGTGGGGTTGCTGTTGATCTTGAACCCTGCAGAGGAGCAGAGGGAGAGCGGTTTGTGTAGATGTCATCAGAGTCAAACGTACTGTTTTGAGTCAGACAGTAAAGACCCAAAAAAGTGTTTCCTCAGTCAACCTCTTACCGTGAACAGTGGTTTCTTCACGAGTGATTTCTGTATTTGTGTGTTTCTTTTTGTGTTGTTTTTTTTATTCTGACCTTCTCTCACTGGTTTTAAATGGGCAGGGCTCCTGTTACAGAAAGGTGATGCTGGTGATGTCACACATCCAACCAACCAATTAGGATTTGGCAACACTTGAATCAGAATGTGAGGACAGCTGTTTCTTTATTTTGGCTACACTGACAGTCAAATCTGATCAAACCTTAAAAAAGTCCTGATGAAGCAGGTCAGCTCAATTTGTAAGTGTAAATAATAAATAATAACAAGGGAACTTTACCTTTCATTATTGCATATTTGATTCATAAATATTTGATGCATTGGAGAAATGCTTTCAACATGAAACCACGTGTCCAAGGCCGCCATCATACAGTAAATCAGATGTTTACTGATGTAATGTGAAAGTTTCTCTCAGTTCTACGGAGCGTTTTTACGATTTCCTCTCATAGCTTCTGTCTTGACAAAGCACGTTTGACACTTATGCTAATGTAGCTCTTCGGGGCATTTTCTAAGTACACTTCTTCTGAGAAATACGGCCCATATCATCAATTCTCAATTTGTGGATCACAAGGTTGTCGGATATCTGTGAGCCTTTGTCCACAAGGGACAATTCCCTCAAGGAAAGGTTTCCTGAGGTTGAGTTGAGGTTTTCGGAGATTACAGCTGTGGTGGAACACAGAGGTCTTTGCTCTCCGAGTCAGGGTTTTCCCTTTGGGTTGGACGAGATGTTTTTATCAATACCAAAGACTTTGTTATTTCAAAGTTGATAGCTATCAGTAGGTTTTTTTGTTCATTCTATTTGACTTACAAATAAGGTTTTAGTTGGTCTCTGTCCTCTGAGCCCTGGGCATTCATTTGTCTTGATGTCGGAGACGTGAGGCGTTATATTGCAATGTATTATAATGTTTAATGCAAACTGCGGTTTGTCCAACACAGAAATCCCAGAGGACAGGGATGGAAATAATGAATCACTGAAAGATACGGCAGTGAATCTCCCATGCAAGCGATGCATAATAACGAGCAGTCATGAGATTGAATTATTTATATTTGTTATGAAACAAGGGACAGTGAGGAATTTCTTGAATGAATTTTGCTCAGAAATTATTTAATTTAAAAATTATCTTTGTATTCAGATTGAAATGTTTTGTCCAATTGGTAAGTGAATTAAGGATTAAAATGGCATTTAGTCAATTTGCCCCAAACCCTGCCAGAGCATCATCACCAAGAAAACAACAAATCCCCCCATCACACATCGTACTCGTCCTGCAGTAGAAGCACAGGAGGAACAAACATCAGAGCGCTCAGCTTCCTGGTAACAGTCACTGTACGCTGCTGACGGATGCTCTAAGTGACAACATGGCTGCTGGCAGATTGAGTCCTCCAAGAGCAGCTCTGTTGATAAGACTGAAGTGTCCACCAGCTAAACACTGAGGCATGTTATTGAGAATAACATTACAAATGGTGAAGGACGGTTTTATATTTTTGGAATCTGATGTTTTATGAGGTTATTTTCACCTGATAGACTTACCAAGACATCTTAATGTGAGGAGTATTAGACCTCATCTACTGACTTAAATAATTGATTGACTTCATTTTGTATTTAAACTTGCCATAACCTGACTTTGTAATTGAATCAATTTTTTTCGGTAAATTTACTTTAGGCTTGAACATGAAAACACAGTTGATTATCAGACTGTTTAACCAACCAGGCTGCCCCAGGCTCCAGAGCCTCAAAAGCCCCGGGTTCATTACGTGTCAATCTATTTCTGAACAAATAAGAAATTAATGAGGAACTAACTGCAAGTGAACCATAAGTTAATCAGTATCTGATAATCCATTTTCAAAGAGTAGCTAATGATTAGTTAATTGAGAAACAAGTGAGGAACGACTTCATAGCATACATGTAATTTATGAATCATTAATAAATACTTCCCTCATGGAGGACTATATAGTAGATAACGATGAGTCACTATAGAACAGATTGGGAGATCTTATGACTCATTGTCATTTAGGTACTAAATTAAAAATTCAGAGCATCAGTATAGAATCAAACACGTGACGTCACCTGGTTTGTGGACTACAGTTTTGAAGCCTCAAGTTCGGCATTTCGGCCGTCAGCATCTTGATTTTTGCAACCAGAAGTGACGCGAGAGGGTGGAGCTAAGTACAAGCGAATGCTGAATAAGACATTTTTAGGCAACCAAAGTGTTACAATTAACTTTCATGACGTTAAAAGGCACTATGAAAGGCTTAAAGCTGTAAGACTAAAACACGGACAACTCCCAGACCAGACATCGCAGTGGTAGCGACCTGTCAATCACAAGACAGCCACGCCCTAAAGCATACCCTGCTTTATCATTTATTACACTCTAAATGGGACCATGATTTACTAAATGAACATGACAATGTTTACTAACTATACACTTTTATGCAATCGGACTTCTTTTTGCAACCAGAGGTGTCGCCCTGATGGCCATTAGAAAGAATGCAGGCTTAAGGCACTTCAGCGCTGGCTTTACTTTTCTGACCTGGAGGTTGCCGCGTTGCTGTAACTCCAGCTTCTCTGTGCTTTGTTTACACAGGCGGGCCGGCCACACATGCTTTCGCTCTATGCAGCGCGTAGTAGGGTGATGGAGTGTTTGCGGTATACTGGCACCTCAGCTCTGGAACAGTCTTCCAGTTAGTATCTGATCTGCTGACACTGTTTCCATTTTTAAATCCCTTCTTAAAACACATTTTTACTAACTTGCCTTTTCCCCTGACAATTCATTGTATAGATTTATTCATTCATTTATTTTTAGATATAGCTCTGTTGTGCAACCACTTGATTTTAAGGTTATTTTTGACAGTTTCACCTGTCCTACCCTATATGCTTTGGGATGATTCATCTGTAAACGTATTTTATACGGTCTTTAAAGTGTGTGCTTTTATTTTGCTGTTGTTGTTTCTTGATATTTTGTATTGGTATCGATCTGTTGTCTATGGAAAGCACTTTGTGCTCCCAGCCGGAAAGTGCTCTACAAATAAAATGATTATCATTACTTGACCGGCTAGCTAATCACCACCACTCTGCACTTGGCTCATGCAGCGGTTACAGCTGAAACCGCCATCAGGCTCCCCTCTCAGGTAAACACGAGTCAGCACTGTTGTTTGCACTTTTAGCACCGTTAGCTTCTAGCCTCCGGCTCAGGCTATTAAGGGAGTGTTTACTAGGGGCCCAACATCAAACCTTAGGCCCAGGACCCCAAACATTTTGATCCGGCCATGATAGGACACTGGGCGAGTGCCTTTACATGAATGCAGTGGGGAAACTCACTGCAATGAATTCTCTTCAGGTTAAGTGCTTGTTTTTGTTCTCACATGTGGGGAAACAGCTCCCGTTAGTCTGCACGCTTTCTATGCGCAACATGTACAGTATATTCTACCGTTTGATATAACATCTTTGCATGCATAAACTCTGACAGAAACCTCATTTACTGTATAATAGCAGGTATTTATTTAATTATGCAGGTGTTGCATAATTAAACTTTTTGTCAAATAAAATGACTCACCTTTTTTCTTGATGCCCTCAGTGGAGAGAGAGGATTTCCGGCAATGATAAGAGGTGATAAAAAAACCACACTCGCTCTAAAAAAAGAAACACGCAAATTACCGTTTTCACTTTCCACTGAGAGACAAGTCTGAAACTTGAATGTCAATAAAGGACCGGTTCACTTCCCCGTGCTGCTTATAAGTCCGGAAAATGAAGAATTTGTCTGCTCGCGCTGGAAGAAATAACAGCGCTTCTTCAGTGAATGACTTCAGACGGATGAAGCTCTTTCCTCTCGCTCACACTCATACACACACTCCTCCCTCGTGAAACATATTCAGCCTGATATGAGCATGTGTTTCCTCTCCTGGGGGCGGATCAGTTAAAAGCCTGTTATGTATTCAGATGAGTCTGTTGATGACACACAATAAAACTTGTTGCATCAGTGTCGAAACCCGAGACACAAGTTATCCCGTTTATCATCGTTTTAGGCTTTTAGAGCCATGTCACAGTCTAATTACGTTTGAATTAAATGCGCTGTTTAATAATTAGGGGAGATTAGGAGCAATTGTAAAAAAAAAAAAAAAAAATTTTATTTGTCCTCACATTTCACAGACTACTTGAAATACACTAGTAGTCATCTCTCGATATAAGAAACATATATGTGCACCATTAATATAAATTATGTATTTTTTACTAAGGACAATATTAAATTTAATGCAGGAAGTCAGTGGTACAGTTTCCCCCTTATATTAACATACTGTATCTCAAATAAAAGCACTTCAAAAATATATATATTGTACTACTTTCTGTCAATATATAATATTGTTTCAACAGATATAAAACACGTAATTTTATTCAAAAAGTATGTTACTTGATGTATTATAACACACCCCATTTAAATGTAATTTTACATTTTAAATTAGTGAAATATGTTTTTCTATATTTTCTAACAAACTAAATATATCAGACAAACACGGTGGTTATTTGGCCAAAATCTGGTACGCAAGCTTATCATCAGTACATGTTCATTTGTAACCAATAACCTAGAGATAAAACTGAAGTTTAAATTCGCAGTCAACTAAACTTTAGACAGCAGAAGAAAAACACTGTAGGCCTACATCTAAAAAGTAACTTTCACGCCACAAAATCTGTTTTTTTTGTTGAAAACTTCTGCCAAGGTGAAATGATCCTTCTCCACAGGTAGAGAGAGAATCCTACTGAGCATGTGCAGAGTGAGTGTCATCACTCTAGCTTGATTCTGATTGGATGAATTAAGTGTGTCACAATTGCCCTCAGTCGCACCAACTGAGAGTCAACTAGAAATGTTACATCTCGGCTTTTCTGAAGTTAAAACCAACAAACGAGTCTGTTTCAATGGTCCCAGAAAAGATTAAGCAAAACAAAAGAAGGAATTTGTTGATTTTGTTTATTTCTTACTGATTATCATCGTAATGTGCACTTAATACTGTAGCTTAGTCCCTTTACACACAAAGACACACACACGTATTCATTCAGCTTTACCCTTTCAAAGGGACCATTTCAGCACTGCATGTAGTGTGATGAGGAAAAATAAAAACAATAAAAATCACACCAAAAACAAAATGCGGCATGGATTGTAACAATAAAAGGCAACATGGAAACAAAAAAGACAAACTAAAGCAGGTTCAGTGGACTTCTCAGAGCATTTTCAAGTAAACACAAAGAAAAATAAGTGTATTGTGATGAAGTGGACCCAATAAAGACACAATGCACTGTTCACATTTGCTCGTTATGATAAAGCTACACACACACCTCAGGTCCCAAATAGTGTAACATGTCCCTCGTGGCGGCATCGTGTGGAGGTGGAATGTGCTTCCTAGCTTTTGCCAGCCGTCTGGTCTCTCCTCGCGTTCATCAATCACTCTACATTTCGGCACACGCTGGACATCGTAAAGTCCCAGGATCACTGAAGCGTGATCAAAAACACATTCCACTTCCAGGATGGAGAGGCTTCAACTCTTTCTGTAGCTCTCACACGTTCCTGACGGGAGCAATAAAACACTTGGGCCGGCGTGGGAACCAAGCGGAACACACAATAAAACTGTTGGCTGACAATCCTCAGCAACATGTTATCACACAACCACTATCAACAGAGAGCCGATGCTTTCAAATGTCATTAAATACCTCACTCGCACTCTCTTGCACACACACACACACACACACACACACACACACACACACACACACAC